GTATTAAAAAAGAAAGACAATGAAAATTAGAGATTTTTACACTGATATTTACACTCCTTTCTATAGCAAATGGAAATTAGAGATTTTCAATGGAAGATATCAACATGGAAATGGGAGATGTCAAATGAAATTGAGTGACAATATGAAAAAACAGTAGTTACAAACGTAAGCATAAGAAACCTTCCCACCCTTCGTACTCAGTGTACACTACATAAGTAGTAGGAAAATACTTGAAAACAGTAGCTAACATTGAATTTTGAAACTCATTAGTCAATTCTCAAGCAAGAAGGTATGTTCATACAACAAACACAATAAATATAAAGTCAAACCGGAAGCAAACAGTGAGGCATAAAGTATGTCCATACAGTAAATACAACAAATATCAAGTCAAACTGAAAGCAATAACTCTACAATTTAAAAAAAAAATAGATGGTAGAAACAAATACTTGGTCCCTTATCAATTTTAAAAAAACAGGTCATTAAATAATGAATAGAAATCGATGGACTGGATACATTGTGCCTATTTCATAGAAATCGAGAGAAAAATAGATAGAAAGCAAACAAAAGTAGAGCAAACCTGATAACAAACCAAAAGTAGAAAAAAACTGATAAGAACCCTGATGTTGAACCGATACAGAAGGTTAAAGAGGAAAAGGATGAGTAACCCTAACCTTATTAAAATATATTATTGATGATCAATTATAGAGAAGTAGAAAAGAGAAGTTTGAATCGGTCATTTTGGGAGGAGAGCCTTCTTGGAATAGATTACAGAGAATGAGAGTGTCTAATTTTTAAAAGTATTGAGAAGGAATATGCTTTTTTATATTGTAATTAAGAGATTTTCAAAACTGATGTTTAAAAAGATAGTACTTTAAGTCTTGTTGGTTGTTTTTAATACTTCTGTGAATTTGCTTTATAAAGTAGTATAGATAATTATGATAAAATGTGTTGGTAAATGAATTTTTTGGGTCAAATCGTTTGTTCATTTAGGCCCCCTTTGGTTTGAAATAATGGAATGGATTTAGAGGGATTTGCATTTCAAATCCATTTCAATCTCATATTTGGTTTGTATATTTGGTTTGTTTGATTGTTCGTATTTGAAATCCTAGGATTTAATTGAAATCCTTCAAGCATAGAATTTTGAAATCCTTAGGGAGTGCTCGGAATTTCACGGGATTTCGTAAGATTGTATGCAATAAAGTTTTAATTTTTTTTAAACATTTATTTTGTAATAACCGATGAATAAAAATATAATATAATTATTTTTATGTTTATTTATAATTTTTCTATAAATTATTTATAAATAATGAAATCCAATTATATTTCAAATCCTACAAACCAAACACATCAAAGATTTTAAATTCATTCCAATCCAAATCCCTCCAAATTCGTGTTTGGGATTGCTTATAAAAATAACTTATTGACTTATTCAGGTGTGGTACCGGTAATAAACACTTTTGAGTGTTTGGATAAACAACTTATACCGGTGCCAAATCGGTAATAAGAAGTTTTTAAAGAAGTTAAACACTTCTGACTTATAATAAGTTGATAAATGTTTCTGTAGAAAAACATAAGTTGTTTCAGATAAGCAATCTTAAACATCCCCTCAAATCACTCAAAAATAATCCTGCAAATCAAAGATTAGTGCTACTAATCTATATATATATATATATATATATATATATATTAAAAGAAGAATCAATAGTATTGAGGTGACATCATGAGAATTGATTATTGAGGTGTTGGTGAATTGTGGTTGAGTTTGGGATATCCCACATTGGTGGAAGATTGAAAGATTGGAATTAGGAGGTGTGTATAAGAAAGAATGATGAGATTCATTATGTCAACTCGTGAGGATTGAGTCATAAAGTTATCTTATTTGGATGATCTTATTTTTGCAAAATAAATCTTATATTGTGTTAGCTTATGAGGCTTGATTCATAAAATGATCTTATTTAAATGACCCTATTTTTGCAAAACACATCTTATTATATAAAAATAAAAAATGAATTGTGTTTACAATCATCAATATATATATATATATATATATGTGTGTGTGTGTGTATATATATATATATATAAAGAAGAACGAAGAGGTAGTTAGGTGCATCATGAGATAATTAGGTATATATATATATATTTTGAAGTATTGGTTAATTGTGCTTAAGTTTGACATATCCTACTTTAATGAGAGATTGAAAGATTGTAATATAGAGATGTGTATAAGAAAAAAAAAGCTGAAATTCATTGTGTCAACTCAAGAGGCTTGATTCATAAGCTTTTCGTATTTAGATGACTCTCTTTTGCAAAACAAATCTTATTATATAAAAATAAATTGTGTTTACAATCATCAATATATATATATATACATATCAATCTTTATATATGTATGTATGTATGAAAGTAAGATCCACAAGAATTGATTCATCATTTTTTCTTTTCTTATACACATCTTTTTATTCCAATCTTTTTATCTCTCATCAAATTAGGATGTGTCAAACTCAACCACAATTGACCAATACCTCAATATATAGATACCTAATTACCTTATGGTGCGCCTAATTACCTCTTGGTTCTTCTTTATATATATATATATATATATATATATATATACACACACACACACACACACAYATATATAKACACACACACACACACACACACAYATATATATATATATATATATATTGATAATTGTAAACATATCTCAAAATCAACCACAATTCAACATTGAGGTTTGTATCCAACATTGACGGAGAGATAAAAGATTGACAATTGATGGTAGATATATAATAGGAGGTTGAAATGTCTTTGTTTTAACTCATGGAGTTGGATTCTCTTGGCTAATCATATTAAACTCGTATTGTCGGCTCATGTTGGCTAATCCTCCAAACTCATAGGGCTGGTTCATTTTGTCCAATGGTCAATTTGCAAAAATCGTTATCTATATAAAAAAAATCAATATATCTTTTTATATATTTAAAAGTAAGTTCCAAAAGAAATGATGATAACACCCTAAAATAACCTAGCATTATATATTTGTTGCGTTGAGGTTGAGTTTTGTGTATCCCACATTGATGGAGAGATGAAAGATTGACAATTGACGGTAGATATATAAGATGAGGTTGAGGTTTCTTTGTTTTAACTCACGGGGTTGATTTGCTAATCATATAAATTTATACTGTTAGCTTATGTTAACTAACCCTCTAAGCTCATGGGGTTGGTTCATTTTGGCCAACCCTTTATTTGCAAAAAAATTATCTTTATAAAATATATATATATATATATATATATATCTTTATCTTATATACATATAAAGAAAATCTTGGGATATTGAGGTGACACCATGAGAATTGAGTATTCTCAGATGTGTGGATTGTACTTGAGTTTTAGTTGTCCCACATTGGTGAAGAGTTGAAATATTTGAACGAAATGAAGTGTATAAGAAAATGGATTGGATACCTTTGTGTCAATAATGAGGTTTGCCTCATAAGGTTGTCTTATTTTAGATGATCTTCTTTGAAATCTATAATCATGGTTGAAAACCAAACCAACTAAATAGTAAAAATTATAGTGCAAAATTAATTATATTATATTATTATATCCTTACATATATAAAAGTAAAACCTTGGGATGATGAGGTGGCACCATAAGAATTATAAAAGTAAAACCTTGGGGTATTAAGGTGGCGTAATGAGAATTGAGTATTCTCAAATGTGTGAATTGTGGTTGAGTTTTAGTTGTTCCACATTGGTGAAGAGTTTCAATATTTGAATAAAGTGAAGTGTATAAAAAGATGGATTGGTGTCTTTCTGTTGATTCATGGGGTTTGCCTCATAGGATTGTCTTACTTTAGATGATTCTTTTTGAAATCTATAACCATGGTTTGAATCAAAACCAACCAAATTGAGAAAATCTTTATCTTTATATATATATATAAAAGAAAACCTTGGGGTATTGAAGTGACACCATGAGAATTGAGTATTCTCAAATGATGAATTGTTGATAAGTTTTAGTTGTCCCACATTGATAAAGAGTTGAAAGATTTGAATAAAGTGAAGTGTATAAGAAAGGTGGATTGGATGCCTTTCTGTCAAATTATGAGATTTGCCTCATAGGATTGTTTTATTTTGGATGACCGTCTTTGAAATCTATACCATGGTTTGATTAACCAATTAAATGGTAAAAATTATAGTACAAATATAAAAGTAAAACCAAGGATGATGATTTGGCAACATGAGGTAGTTATTTATCTGTCGTCTTGGTGTTACTACTATCAAGGTCTGACACACCCCTCTGATTACAATTCAAATATTATAGAATGTTATGATAAAGTGTAGTACTTTTATCAGTTTAATATCTGATATGTGGGTCATCGACCCCATTTGATATTAATTTTATTTTTTTATGAGGAAAATTCATTATCTTTGCTTGGTGATGTGGTTCTTCATGCATCGCCTTGTACTTCAACTATTGTTGCTACAACTTACGTACTCCTCTAATTTTTCATTTGAAATATTATAGAACGTTTCTTTTTCATAACTTCAAATGAGATTTCAATTGTTACAAAATTAAAATCGTGATTTTGTCACTTTATATGAGATTTCAGTTAAAACTCTGACTTCTAATTAAACAAACTACTAACATAGTCAAACATTTGTAGAGTACTTTCCAACACGGTTCTCAAGCACAATTAAATAACTTAAATTAACATATGGTTCTAATATTATTGTCAACTTCACTTAAAAACTTTTAATGAGTAATTGCCACACACAATTGTCTAATTTTTTTAGAAGAAAGCTTCAAATTAGGATATAACATTTATTTTGAAGATGATATTATGACTAACCGGCAAAGAAACACTATTGTTATATACGCGATATTTTAGTATTTTATCATTTTTAATACGTGGCAAAATGTGATGGGCAATTTTCACGGACCAGCCGTCGTTAATAATAGGTTAGTGCTGCTACTGTTATAAACGCACGCCATGATGAACAACTGAAGAAACCGGAGAGACGGCAAGCAAAGTAACACAGATTTGGGTCTCCCGGACACAAAATCCCCATTTAGATCACTGCCTAACCCTAGAAATACAAATCCTTCCTTTAGATCTTGAGATACCAATCTAATTGATTGCCGATCGAATCAAAATGGCTACATCAGCGTGCGTTAAGGAAGTGAATAGATCGGCATCGGTGGCGTTTGCCCCCGATGCGCCATGCCTTGCCGCCGGAACTATGGCCGGAGCCGTAGACATGTCGTTTAGTTCTTCTGCGAATCTTGAAATCTACAAGCTTGATTTCCAATCTGACGATCGTAACCTTCCGTTATCTGGAGCCATACCCAGTTCAGAACCGTTTAATCGGTTGTCGTGGGGCAAATCACCGTCATCTGGTTCGGAAGAATTCTCACTCGGTCTCATTGCCGGTGGCCTTGTAGATGGCAACATCGGTATCTGGAACCCTCGCTTACTTATGAGGTACGGTGCTCTTAGATCTTAATGATGTAATTCTTTATAGCTGATTCAAATTGCGGTCGTTTAATGAAGTTGTTTGAATCGTGAATAAGATTGTTCTTTGTTTTTGAATCTGAGGAAATCGTTTGAATGGACTTCTGCTGTTTTGTGACAATGCTGAATGATCTGCTTACTTGTAGCTCAGCTCCCATCATTTTTCTTTGTTCTTTAGCATAACACTCCCTCACTTGTCACCTCCATAAAACTGTAAGAATACTATTTGGCATGCCATGGTGCATTTAGATGTAAGCCTGTTTGGAAGTTTTTGTATACAGAAATGCACTTTGGAAGTTTTAATGTTACTAGAAAAATGTTCTACTTAACTGAGCTAAGATCTTCTTGAGAGTGTGCCAAATTGTAATGATGCACTATTTGGACAGATGGAGTAACATTTTAAGGGTATTTTAGACTTTTATGGTGTTTGATATGTAATGTGTTGATTGATTATAGACTGGTAGCTGTATTGTGACCGATATATAATTGGCTCCCTCTTTTCAAAGCATTGCAGGGAGGTCTTCTAGCTCTATATTTGGCTCCATGTGGTTTCTGAATTTCGTCAGTACTGACTGCACTCTACTAGCTCTATATTTGGCTCTACATCTGAGTTATTTGGCTACCTAAGTATTACAATAGCAACATCTAGTTATGTCCCTTTTCATCCCTACAGTCTTATCTGTAAAGGTTCTTAAAATGAGACCTTGGTTTTTATAGCATGATACATGCTTATCGGGTTATGTAGAATTTTTTTTGGAAACAGAGACGCAAAACAAAACAATTAATTACAAATGAAGTTTTCTCCAAGATAAGTCGTGCTACTTTTTCGGGTCTATGAATATTATGGTTGGAAAGTTGTATTTCATATAGGATTTGCTTTTTCTCAGTATTACTTCCCATGATTTTTTGTTCTATTCATGACGAAGTGGCAAGTAGTAGTCACCATATTATGATCTTATCTTCATGGAAGACTCATTCTTATTTATTCACTGATTCTAGTTCGGAGGAAAGTGAAAATGCTCTTGTTCAACAACTATCAAGACACAAGGGGCCTGTGAGTTTCTTTTTTTGCATGGTGGATGTAATATTTTCTAGGATTTCATTTCCTGTGCATTTGAATAAATCATTATTGAAAATGCTGTGCATCATATTTATTTCTCCAGGTTCGTGGTCTAGAGTTTAGTTCTCTTTCACCAAACCATCTCGCTTCTGGTGCTGAAGGAGGTGAAATTTGTATATGGGATTTTGCTAAACCAACAGAGCCTACACATTTTCCTCCTCTCAAGGTACCCATCTCTTTATTACACTTGCATTAGCTAAATTTTGAAAACGTTTCGTATGCCAATTTCTTGTTAGTATTTATATGTGTAAGATGTAATCATATCAAAAAGGTAGAAGAGATCTAAGATTTTTCATTGAACTTATTTCATATCTTCCATTTCCTCCATCCTGTTGGGATTGGGATGCTTGCTTTTGTCATCCTACTCCCACTGTCCAATTTTAGATGCTACATTAACTTTTCACACAATTATATGGATCCCTTCGTACATGAAGAAAAATTCCAAAGTTGAATTTTTTTTTTTGCATAACTGTTTTTCTTCCTTCACACACATTTCACTAACCTGGGAGTTGTCACGGAAACAACTCTATTCTTTAGGGTAGAGGTCAGGCCTGAGTACATACATGCCCCCCCTCCAGGTGGGATATATTGAGCTCATTTGGTTTGGTTTAAAAACTCAATATCTTTATCCTAAATGAAAACACGCTCCCAAAGATGTTACCAAATATTGTTGTTGCAACGATTATGCAATAGAGGTGCTCTTTTTGGAGTGTGTCAAAGAAGTGAGTGTTGAATAATTAGAAGACTTCATTGAGCTAGCATGGCGACCAAGAGAAAATCTGGAATACTATATGAGATGCGGATATTAAGAGTGTTTGATATTTCATATTTTACTGCTATCATTCTGATCCCAACTAGTTTGGATTAAAAGGCTTGCTTGTTGATAATCCATTGAACTTGAGTAGACATTGAAGAGGGTAGATTGTATAGAAGCTAAACTATTTAGCAACAGAACAGTAGTGTTGGTGTGAGAAGCCTAGCTTGTCAGGAAATGTATTTTGGTTAGTAAACTAGATGATAAGGAAAGTAAAGATGTAGGAAAACAGCTAACTGGATGCTTGCACCAAGGAAGATTATCTCATGTCACGGAAGACACTTCAAAAGAGACATGGTGGCCATTCTTTATTGACCTACTGTAAATGAGGGGAGCTTATGGGGTCTTCGGTTATCAGCTTGAGAAGGGAAATTGTGTATAGATAAACATGGTAGAGTTTTGCGTATGTTAAGATGCATATATAGCATGTTGTGCTGCATGTACCTAATTATCTTAGAACATTTCATTTAGGAGATACCGTGGTGCTTTCAGTGGTACACCAGAAAGCCTACTAAGGTGGCACCTATCCATGGATTTCGCCACTCATGGGTTCCACTGACAGGATCAGATAGCTTTAGGGATCTTGGCTCCTGGATATAGGGACTTTACCAATTAAAAATCTTCAAGGACGGATTTTACAGCTCAGCTATCCATTCAAAAATTTACTCACGATCTCAGCACCTTACATGGTAAAAAGTAGCTTTTCAGGCACCACAGTTAATAGAAACTTCCTACCTACCATCAATTTCAACTTGCTATGACTGCAGTTCTGTCTGTAAAGAAATTCTTTATGGTGGTCTTACTTACTTATAACATGTAATGTGCATCACCTACGCAAAATCGTGAGTGTGATACCTTACTCTGTCGCTTTAGTGACTGTCTTACCTGGGACATATGTCTGGTATAACTCCATAGAACGGAACATGTTTTTTTGTAACTAAGTATCTTTAAGCTCTATGTTTTGCTTGGAAGTTGGAACAAGGCATCTAGAATTAACATGTAATTAATGCTAAAGGCATACTATGTTTTATGCAAGTTTTGTCTGCTTAATTTTGTGTTTAGGCTTGATATCACTTTTGTAGGTCCTTACATTTGGTTGTAGTTTCTGTGAGGGTTATTTTATTTTACTCTTTCAGAAGGTTGGTGGCTTGGTTCTCCTGATTGATGTTGCACTGATGCAGGCTATGTTGTCTAGTATTCTCCTATCAACAAAGACTGCTCACTGTTGATAGATCATCATCCACTTTAACAACACCTGCTTGCCAAATTTCTAATTGATTTTTTTTATAAAACTTGAATAAAGTACAATCTGAGGATGCACCAGGTTGATCATAGTAATACCAAATCTGTTGGAAAAAATTTAATATATAATTTGGTAAAAAAAATCCTTACTGAGCTTTTGCTTTTGGACTAATTATAGAGCTTTTCAACATAGTAAGTATTTCGCACTACAACACATAGCACATTGCTATGCATGTGACAAATACCTAAGAAGAATGTTGGTCACGCTGCAGAAGTGAATATAGGTTTTTTTTTTTACTTTTTGTAATCTCTCATGGGTCTCAATTTTAGCTTCTCATCTGGTTTGTGTAACATGTTAAACAATACTTCAATTGATGTTCAATGCGTCTAATCTGTTTAGTTGAATATATTGGTCAAAATTCAAGAACGGCACCTATGAGCAGAGCACCAAGTTTAAGAATGTTTATTTTGTTATTGTTTAGGCTCATTTATTACTTTAGGTTTGTTTACTGTGTCATTTCAATAGTTTATCTAAACCAGGGGTTTATATGCTTTAGTATGTTGGTTGGTTAAAGCAATTTATTACAAAGATGCCTGTGTTACTTTGGTACGTTAGTTCAGTTGCATTGTCTCTCCATCTCTCGGGCATCCTCACTGTATTGTTGTTACTTACAAACCTCTATCTGCAGGGCAGCGAGTCTGTGACGCATGGAGAAATATCATTTTTATCATGGAATAAGAAGGTCCAGCCTATCTTGGCATCAACTTCTTTTCATGGAGCAACTGGTATGAATTGGAACCACCAGATTGTATTAAGCTATCCCAGTTTATATACATTTATGTTATACATTTATTATTTGTGGTTTCAGTGGTTTGGGACCTTAGGAAGCAAAAGCCAATTATAAGGTAATTTTATGCAGTCGAAATCAAAGTTAGCCTGGTGAATTTGTAAAAATTATGAACTGGTAAACAATTTTTTTATGAAGTTTCCAATTTACAGTTTCTCAGATTCGGTTAGAAGAAGATGTTCAGTTTTGCAATGGCATCCTGATTTTGCCACTCAGCTTATTGTTGCTTCAGATGATGATAGTTCACCTTCTTTAAGGGTAATGCTTTATGCCTTCATTTATGTAGCTATAAGTGAAAGTGTTATTATTGGAAGTTACCTTCCTTTTTGGCATGCAGCTATGGGATATGCGGAACACAATGTCACCCTTGCGAGAGTTAGTTGGTCATACTAAAGGTACACTAGTTATCAATTTGATATTGAACCTTTACCATTCAACATGTTACTTCTGATCATTTCACAAGTGTAACAAATGTAGGATGTAATGATGAATTATCTCCCGTCTCTTGCCTTCTTCCTCTCTCCTCTCCCTATTTTCTTCCCCTGCATGTTTGCATTCAAGGAGAATAAGGACAAAAATAAGAAGAAAGATAAAATACTTGAATTGCATTTGGTTCAAGAAAAAATTTATTGTTAAATCTTCAATGGGAGGTCAAAGTTTGGGAATAATTTCTGCCAGGATGGCTAGTTCTACAGTTCTTATAGGACCATTTTCTTCAGATTTTTTCAAGATATTTGATATCTTATGCGTAGATAAATTATTGTTCTACATAAGAAGAGAAAGATCGACTCCCTGATACCCAATTGAATAGGTGGTAAGAGATGTATCTGGTGTAAAGTTTAGCAACTTAAAGGTTTTATCATATAAGTTGCTTCTGTTTTGAGCTACTGAAAGTTCCTATACTCCCGTAATCTTTGTCACCCTAGGAAAATCCATTGTTTTCCATTTTATCAAACTCAACTTAGTTTTTGCTCATGTATATTTTCATTGAAAATTCTAAACGATGTACAAAAGTTGTGCCACTATTTTGATGTAGCGTTCGCATAACGAGAACCTCAAGCACAATAAAAATCCTTGTTTAGTGGAAGTGTTTATTAATATATTTTAGGCCAAAATGCGACGAACTTTATCTTTCCTATTTAGTCTAATGATGGGTTTTTTCTTGAATTAGTGTAACAAACATTCAATTATTCCTATTTTATACTCATTTTAACCAGTAATTGGTAACTGGAAGACCTTGTAATTCTTGATTGTGTGAAAAAATGCCACATCAAAATCAGTCGATGTCATGTAGGTTGGAAACCCGTTTATGAGATAAAATGGGTACAAAATAGGAATTGAACATTTATTATACTACCTGAGAAATCATAGTTACACTAAATAGGAATTAAGACAAATTTCCTCATATTTTGATGCATTTTGAAGGAGTAGGTATGCTAAATGATTGGGGCCTAGCTAAATGTTTGTTGAAAACAGATGGGAAAAGATATAAAGAAATGACACTTCGATGTCTAATTATCATACTTGAACTAAGCTTCATAAATGTAAATCACAGCTTCAAGTCTCTCATCTGATTCTTGATCCAAGCTCCAAAGTACCAAAAAGACAAGGTGGAAATACATGAAATATAGGTGAAATTCTTAAGTACTAATTAATTCCCATAAAATTAGATCTAACTAACAAATAACATTTTAATCTAACAACACCGCTGCACAAGTGACTAGTGCGAGGTACTTAACAATTTCTTAACCTTGCGGAGTTGACAAACCAACATACTTCACTATTAATCCTATTAAACACTTACAATTGGGGTTTGGCTGTGTTCTAATAGTTCTAGTATTTCTGGATGTACCATTTTAAGTAACATAATTACCAGCAATACATGTTGTCTATGTTGGCTTATCATATTGAAATATAAACATGACAGGACATAGTATATACATATAAATTAAAGAGGTATCGTCAATTTGATGCTCAGCTAGACATCATTCAAGATTATAGATGTTATATGCTTTAAACTTTTTAGATAATTTTTTCATGCTCCTTTTCATGAGTTTCACAACAAAATGATATACCAGGTGTTGTTGCAATGTCATGGTGTCCCAATGATAGCTCCTATTTGCTTACTTGTGCCAAAGACAACCGCACTATTTGCTGGGACATTAATTCAGCTGAGGTATCTAGATATTTTTGCTAGTTATCTTAGTTATGTTATTTACCGAACTTCTACAAACTTTTGTGGTTATTTAATGTCTAAGCTGCTTGATCTTTCAACTGCAGATTGTCTCTGAACTTCCAGCTGGATCCAATTGGAATTTTGATGTGCACTGGTATCCGAAGCTACCTGGGGTCATATCGGCATCTTCATTTGATGGAAAAATTGGTATTTATAACATTGAGGTTCGTAATATTGCTCCTATCGATGTCTTATGTTTCGTTATTTGTTCTTGCAAGACTGTTTTACACCAATCATTTTGTGTTAAAAAGTACAACATGCTATTAGAAGTACTATGGTAATGTCATCGATGGAGCAGGATGTGAACACCGTACACTTGCCCTAGTGGGATTTGAAGGCCAGTTATACAACATCATCTCCGACCTTGTTTATCTATATATAAACTCTTGTTTGAAGTTGAAATGTTTGTACATTCATTTAATTGTCACAGACCTTTTTATTAACCTTTTTTGCATGTCAAATATATTTATTTTAACATATATGGACGCTTATATATGTTCTTTTATGTAGGCTTGTGCTCGATATGGTGCTGGTGACGGTTACTTTGGCTCAGGTAACGTGGTTCTTCATTTTGGAGTCAAACTGTATATGGTTTTCAAGTTGAGGTTTTGTTTATGGAACCTCTTTTGATTTTTGAAATAGACAGTTCCATTTTGTTATTATTAATAAGTTATGACCAACTTCAATTATATGAATGCAATAAGCGTGAGATTGGGGATTTTTTTCTGTTTCAAGTTACTTGTTTGAATTGTTCTCATATGGATTAATGGGATCTCCACTCTTAAGAACAATATGCAACCACAGCCATAGTTGAGCTATTTGGGAGTAATTGATTTGTTTGCACATTCTACCTTTAGTTGTTCTTTAATTGCCTATCTATAAGAGCTATCCAATGTTACTGCATGATTCTTTATTATTGACCTTAACTGTTTATAAACAACCCTGAAGCACATTTTGTGAGCTTGAGTATTCAATGCTTCTTTTAACGAAAAATAATGAAGTTCAATTCACAAAGTAAGGCGGGTTAGTTGATGTTGGCCCAAATAAATAGAAGAAGAGTGAACAACTTAAAAACTGAAAAGGAAAGGGAAAATATAAAAGTCCAAGTACTGATATGTGATGGAGGAAGTCAGCTTAGCAGAAGAGACAATATCAATCTCCTTTTAGTATAGCTGCCAAAGGAAGAAAGATGACTGATGATCTGAGGTGTTTGGTAAGCTTAATTCCTTGTGATGTAGTCTTTGTGGGCTGGAGAAAATGATCCATACTCTGAAACCTTGGACTTGTTACTAGTGAAAGTTTGTCCATATCCTGTTTGTTGCCTTGTTGGTAAATGAAGAATGTATTGAGATACGTAGATGTGTCATAAGTGCTAATTAAGTTTCCATGTAACCTATTGGAACATATCATTTAAAACTTGAGTGCCAGTGCTCAAAATTACCTGATGGTGGTACTGAAACTCTAGGCGACTCCTATCAAGAGGAGGGCTCTTGTAGAGGTAGGCTTTCGGAAAAATGAACTTGTACAAGAGGTGGTCACAGACTTAATTGACTCGTTAACAATCCAGAATTCAGACTCAACCTTTATGTATGAGAAAGACAAAATTCAATTTATACTTATTTGGCTGTGGTGCCTTCTCCTTTACAGCTACCTACACTTTTAGCATGCTGAAACTTGTTTGGGTTAAAAGACTTAATTTGACATATGTGAAACAAGCCAAAGCTTTGGGCACTCTCAAATAGCTTCTGACAGTTACAAAGTAAATTCAGTATTATAAACCTCCAATTTTCCTTCAGCCCCACCTTTGGCTTGTATATTTTCCTCTTCGGAGTTCTAGCTTTTTTTGTTTTATTTTTCCTTTGGATGTATTATGATATACTAGAAGAGTACTCGCGCAATGCTGCGAGACACATCTCGATTTTAATGTTCTATTTTATTATTTGTCTCTGTCGATGTTATGATACGATTTTATGTGTTTTTAATAAAACAATAATGATTTTATTTTTGAATAAAATATAAATTTGAAGATATCATAAAAATTTGAAAAAAAAATATATCAATGTTAATATTATAATTTAATTNAAATAATTTATTTTTGGTTTAATAATATACAATTTTATAAAATAATAATTAAGTATTCTGTTAGAACTCGATGATTATCTTAATTATATTTTAGATTTTTTTATATTTAAAATGAGATGTTTATCTTGTATTTGATTATGTTTATCTGTAGTTAGTTGCAAACTTGAGTTTTAAGTAATATGCATTAATAAACAGTACTTTACGCATAAAAACTGGTTTTTAAGAGTTTTTGTCAAATGCTTTATTATATAGTATAGATATTCGTTTGTGTTATTATTTATTTTCGATCTCTGTGCAGCACATTTAAGAGCCCCAAAATGGTACCAACGCAGAGCTGGAGTCTCTTTTGGTTTTGGTGGAAAACTTGTTTCTTTTCATGCAACTGGTTCTTCATCTGGAGCTTCAGAGGTAATTCTAGTCGGTCTTGCATTGCCTGTCTCTTTCAATAACTTTTAGTATCTCAGTCTCTTCTAATAATGTTTCAGGTTGATGTGCATGACTTGGTTACTGAACATAGTTTAGTTGGCACCTCATCTGAAATTGAAGCTGCGATGCGTAGTGGAGAGAGATCTTCGTTGAGGCTTTTGTGTGACAAAAAAACTCAAGAGTCTGAGTATGTATTTGTAATAAAGCACAAATTTCTTTGTTCTCATCTTCATCTTTCTGAATCAATTTGATTGCTTGGGTTTTGTTTAATTGCCTGAACAGATCTGAAGATGACAGAGAAATATGGGGATTTTTGAAGGTTATGTTCGAAGATGATGGAACAGCAAGGACAAAGCTCTTAAATCACCTTGGCTTCAGTTTACCTCCAGAACTAAATGATACAGTACAAAATGATCTGGTTCAGGATGTAAGTTCTCTCAGTCTTGACAAAAATGAAGAAGCTAAAGAAGGATATATGGAGCACAACCAGACATTCAACTACCCGTCTGATAACGGCGAAGATTTCTTTAACAATTTTCCAAGTCCTAAAGCTGACACACCTGTGTCAACTTCTCATAATAACTTTGCTATTGAAGAATCTGTTCCAGCTGTGGAAGACCCAACAAAAGGAAGTGATTTACAAGAGGGAAGTGCTGACCCTTCATTTGATGATGCTATTCAACGTGCATTGGTTGTTGGGGATTACAAGGGAGCTGTTGCCCAGTGCATAGCTGCAAATAAGATGGCAGATGCTTTAGTTATCGCGCAGGTTGGTGATGCTTCCTTGTGGGAGAGCACACGTGATCAATACCTTAAAAAGAATGCTTCCCCATACTTGAAGGCATGTTTTTCTTCTCTCTTTTTTAAACTGTTGATCTATTTTAATTACTGAGAGGTTTTACCAATGATTAGTCTTATTATAGATTATTCAGTTTTCAACTTATTAGTGCTCCAATTTCTCATTTTAATCTTTTCCTGACCTACAGATTGTTGCTGCAATGGTAAATAATGACCTTGTTAGCCTAGTAAATATCAGGCCCCTGAAATCTTGGAAAGAAACTCTTGCTCTCCTCTGCACTGTAAGTTGCCAAAATTATGAGTGATAATTTCATGTCTATATTGCATCAATGAATTAATTATGTGTCCATTCTGACAAAAACAATTACTTTGTTCATGTACATCCTTATCCTTGGGTGGCATAGAGAAATATCCTCAACACATACTCTCCTCCTCTCCTCTAGAGGGAGAAAGATGGACAATTTAGTTCCATGTTTTGCAATAGGGTGGTTATTTCTCTATTTCAGCTTGTTAGGATGGGTTAATGGGCATAATTTCCTTCCACTAAATGAAGAGCGAGTCCATAAAAGATGATACCATACTATTGTTACCGGAAAATGCATCAGGTCCACAAAGCCATGTTAGTAATTAGAAGCAATAATTTTGTTCAGGTTATAAGTTTAAGTAGTGTAAAAAGGACTTAAATGTGTAATACATTGTTGACAAAATTGAAGAATAAAAAGTGTGCACATATGGGCTGATTGGCAGGGATGTAAATGACTAACCAAAACATCATGTATATCTACACACTTTTCAATTTGGAGGAAATATGGCAAACATACCGAGTTTGCTACTTACAGGATCATATTATACCTTAAGAGGCGGTTTATCAAAGATGTTTGCTGCCAATCTCTAAGGCACATGCAAACTCGGACGATAGGTTGTTCCTTAGAAGTATTAACCATGTTATCACAGAAGAAGTGACAATAAGCAACCTTATTATGTTTGGTAAGCCCGTAGGAAGTATTTTTACTAGAGATATGCGTAGCTTTCACTTTATCATCATACATCTTCCTTCGTCAAATGAAACGAACAATCACACAACTGTCAGACATTAGAGACACGTCTATGTACAATATACAAAGTTCTCTCCAGTAAAATCAGTGCCATGTCATTGACCTCCCTCTTGTATGGAAACCCTAGCGGTTACATATTTTTAAACTCTATGTCGAACTCTAGTGTGTAGCCTATGAGTAGACTATGTCGAACTCTAGTGTGTCCTTGGCCTTAATAAGAAGCCTTGTTCCACAACACCTTTGAGGCAATTCAATAACAGAATCAAATCTAAAAAATAACTAGTATTGCCTTAGCAAAGTCACAAAAGAGGCTTCACTAGTCAAGTGACTATGAGATAGTTCAGCTTCTCATCTAGTCTTCTTCATGCTCCATCAGCCAGATGGAGCATTATAATGGATTCAGTAGGAAAATATGCAACATGAATACCGAGAATATGGAGAACATACTTTTGTAGATGGCAATGTTGGATACTTTTTCTAATAAAGGTCATAGCTATTTCCCATCTTATGGAGATCACAAGATTGACAACTGAGACTTTTGAGAGAACGATCCATTAGAATTAGGTTTCATGGTAACACTCATGCTTGCATCCATCAAAATCTTAACAAGGAGGAAGACTAACAAGATCGGAATCTCATCATTTTTTTGAGCAATCCTTTATTTTGTGTAGCTTTGCACCATCCAAGATGGCAAGGGCTTTAGAATTTTCTGGATATATGATGGTTATCCATAGCAAATATGAGAATAAAGTGATTGGTAGATCCTTGGGCACACAAGTCATGGTGAGTGGATAAGATAAACTGCTACTGTGTTACAGAATGGGATACAAGGAGTATTAGAAGTGGTAGTGAGAAAATCTTTAGGATCTCATCAATATTTTTATCCCTGGAAGTTATAACCGAAGGAGCATCATGAGTAACTTCTCCCATGACCGCAGGTACTTGAAATAGAGAGATCAACAACATCAAAAGAACTCGGATCTTAATAAAAAAGCCTTGCAAGAATAAATTTGACTCCTGGAAAGTAACATCTGTAGAAATAAGGTACCTTCTAAGACTAGATTGTGAAGAAATATTGGACAAACTACACCGAATTGGTTTAGAGTTTGCTTGGTTGGATGGACAAATTTCAAGCTAAAGTGACCTCTTCCTCCTTGTCATCTCTGCAAACTATTGGTATTAATTTGGGTCCACAAAGCTCCTCCAAACTTTGTCTTCATTGAAGGGTAGTTAGGCATTTGACTAATAGTGATATACATATCTTAAACTGGCAGGTGAGTTGTCAATTTCACGGGTCGTTTTTAGTACAACTTTGAGAATGAGTTCCTTTGCTTTCAAACAATGTAATTGGTTTAAATCATAGAAAGGATGATATATTCTTGTTCTTTTGCCCGTGTATACGCATCAATGCACATACAGGTTGTCATGGTTCTGATTTTTTTTTGTGGTTCTCACATGAACCAGCCTCTCTCTCTTTCTCTCTCTCTATATATGTAGTTGTATTTATTTTATGAACTTAATTTTTTACTGTAATTTCAAATCACGGTCCTGATTGCGATTTCCGAAAACGGCTGCGCTAACTGTATAGCCTGGAAGTCATTTTACGATAATATGCAATTGTTTGGATGTGCTATTCTCATCTAAGGTTATGACGTTCTTAATGCTGTATCACTTTAAAGAGCATGCATATCTATTTTGATCATTTGATGATGATAATCATCTTTTAATTGACAGTTTGCACAGAGAGATGAGTGGACTTTACTATGTGACACCCTTGCTTCGAGACTCATGGCTGCTGATAATACATTGGCGGCAACTCTTTGTTATATATGTTCAGGGAATATTGATAGAACTGTAGAGATCTGGTCAAAGAAGGTTACAGCCGAGCATGAAGGGAAGTCCTATGTTGATCTTCTTCAGGTAGGCACTGCCTCATGTTAAAACTTAAGGCCCTTTGGTTTTGCTTGTTTTCACTTCTTTTTTCTCTGTTTTCTACTTTTCAGAAGTATTTATGCGAACCTTTTTCCAGAAACTCTTTTGAATGTTAGGTAAATTGTAATTGTGCTAGTAAAAGGTGGATAATAGAGACCGAAAAATGAGGAGAAGTGAAAAGAAAAGAGAACATATGAAAGAAAAAAGAAGAGAAAAACAAAAAGATAGACAAGGAGAATAAAATCAAACAAACATGTAGTCTTTTGTTTTTGGTGCATCACTAATTATACCTTGTTATTTGTGTTCAGGATTTAATGGAGAAAACTGTTGTCCTTGCTTTAGCAACTGGGCAAAAGAGATTCAGTGCTTCTTTATGCAAACTTGTTGAGAAGTATGCTGAGATATTAGCAAGTCAAGGACTTCTATCAACAGCCATGGAATATTTGAAGCTAATGGGCACTGAAGACCTGTCTCCAGAATTCGTGGTCTTACGAGATCGGATAGCACTCTCATCTGAACCCGGTATGTGTTATGATACATTTTATATTCAACACTGGGTCATCTTTCTTTTTCATGTGTTAAATGATTATCTTTCTTCACATTTGATGTAAATATTCAAGGTTTTGATAACCTATTACCTGTTGCATGGAAATAGACAATGTTCTGAGCTGGCAAGAGTATCGATAACTATCTAAGTTCTAATATGAGGCTTGTCAGCTCTCTCTCTCTCTCTTTTTTCTTGTAGAACCTGGTATTCTTATATTATGGATGATTTCTGCACTTACATGAAATGATACGAGTTAGTGGAACTCATTAAAATTAAGGAGCATGCATGTTGAAGTAGTTGTAGCAAGGCACATTATTCTCTTGTAGGAAAGATGCAACTGTAGAAGGCCACCACCTATAAAGATTCCTGTAGGATTCTCTTTACATCCTAGAGTTTTGGGCCTTTTTGATCTCATGGTGATGTGGTAGAAGACCACATGTTGGTCAATCACTTGTATCAGCTTTATGGTCTCTTCATTCTTTGAATTGTTTGTTATTTTTTCCGAATACTAAAAGCTAAACCTTTTCGATTCTAGTTTTAGCTACTTGTTCTCCATTGGTCATGCTCCTTCAAGCCTTATTTGCAACACAGAAGATGCTAGTACATCAAGTGAAATGTTTTTTTATAGGGCATCTCTTAACATTCTCCTGTAATTTTGACATTTCATGGGGGTGTGTCTCCATTTTCTTCATCATATTCTTGAATTTTTTTTTGAAGTTCTTAATTATTCGGCACTTTTCAGCAAACATAAATATGTGTTGTTTCCCATAGTTGTTGAAGCTCGGCCATTGATTTGTACTTGAATGGAAACCTTCTAAAAGATTAATGTTGTACAGCTTTGTCTCCAATATTTTTTTTCCTTGAGTTTTACCTATGCATGGACATAAAGAGGTTTTGGCTTGTTAAGGTGAGTTACCTGTAAATTGTCATCTACTTCTGCTGCATGTTTAGGTATTGGAATCACTCTATTTGAGCTGTTATTGAGGTTTGTTTTTCTACCATGGGAACTTGATACTGGAATTTCACGTGTCCTTTTGTTTGAACACTTGATTCCTTCAGGGAAGATACCTAATGTTTTGCACATGGGTATACTGGGTATGCATCAGTTCTGTTATTCTTTGTAGCAAGTTGGATTTCAGTTGTTTTGTACTTTGTTGATACAACTTTCCCCCACTACCATTTTCGGGTCCAAGTATGTATACAGTGTCTTCAGTGGCTGCTGCTGATTCTGAATAAAGCCTTTTTTCTTCTTCTTTTAGAACAAAATGCAACTGTCTCTACAGATTTTGGTTACTCTCAAACACATACGGGAGCTGTATATGGTGCAAACCAACAAACTAATTCTGCTGTGGAGCCCCTTCAAAGCTATTATCAGGTATTTCATGCTTTATCTTATCATCAACCAACATATTTCCCACTTCCATTAGTGGAGCCAGAACTGTTCACTAAAGGGACAGATTATACAAATCTCCTACCATATATTTTAGTCCTGGAATTCCAGATAAGTTGGCGAAGATGGTGTAATACTTTAAACATAGCGTCAAAAATTACATATAATTCTTTTAAAAGGCTACCACGTATAAACAAGTTTGCATTTCCTTATAGTGCATTTTGCATGGGGGGAGTTTGTTTGCTTGGTCTTTGTATGTTAGTTTAACTGCAACATTGCTTTCTTTCCTGTATTGATCGGCTGCGTCGTCTTTTCTGTTTCTTTTCCAGGATGAGAAGCTTTATCGTCAGGAACAGTATCAACCACAACCTGGGCCTTCATACAATAATCAATATGAACAGCCACAACGTAGCATGTTTGTTCCATCACCTGCAGCTCCCAGTCCTCCAGTACGTAAATAAAATGATAGCATGAATATAGACTTCTGTATTTGCGATAATGATTCAATGATGTTTCTGGTGGACATTCTGCTCACTTATAGTTTGCTTTTTTGTGCTCCACTTTTACTTCTCTATTAGAGCTTGCTATTTATATATAAGCTTCTTTTTTTTTGGTGGTTCTGGAATTCTGCGGTTATCGGTCCAGTAGTTCCATATCATGCTGTCTTCTAAGAACTGACATCCATCTGCATTTGTTTAGATGGGCTTCAATCAACCTCCAGTCGCAACTCAAGCTGCTGCAAGACCCTTTGTTCCTATGACACCTCCAATTATGAGAAACGCTGATCAATACCAGCAGCCCCCCACCTTGGGTTCTCAGTTATATCCTGTATGTATATATATAACATTCTCTCCTTTCCTTGAGGTAAATTGTATGGTTCTAACTGCTAAGATCTCAGGATGCTTACCAGTCTCAGGTGAATGCCAGCTCCAATTATCAAGCAGGACCACCAGGGACTGTTTCTCTTGGCCCTGTCCCATCTCCAATGGTTCCTACTACTGGTCCGAAGTTACCACATGATGTGAGCCCCACACCACCTGTAAGAGGATTCATGCCGATCAATAATACACCAATGCAAAGAACAACTTCAGGTCAAATGCCACCCAACAGTGCTACAGAATCTGCGGCACCTGTTGCAGCCCCTCTTCCAACAGTACAGACTGCTGACACATCGAATGTACCTGGTATATCGTTCTTTTCTTCCTGAGAAATCACTCATCATATTCAGCATGTGTTTTTCGTTCTTATGAACTAAATTACTGTCCACCGGCACTCTCATTAGGCAAATGTTAATACGGCTTACATGTGAGATCTGGTCTCTATTATAACCTTGATAGGTGCACACAGCTAACATGTGAGATCTTAAGTTTTTATAAAGCTTCCCATGCATTAATTCTTGGAAATATTGTGCGACACGGTGATCACAAAAGCAAGTTCGTTGACAACCCTCTTCTTTAACTGCGTGCCACTCTCTAGATTGTTTTCCAATAGTTGCATGGGACATGTACGTTCAAGATTTCATGATTATTGGTTAACTTCTTTCAAAAAAGCTCTACTTCTTTCTATTTTAAATTCCAACTTTACAATTTTCTCTAGATATGAATGAATCAATATTATATCCTGGACTCCTCAGGGAAAGAGTTGGATATAAACTGCACAGGTGTTGAACCTTTGGCTAATAAAAGTGTTTTATGTACCAGCCCAGCAAAGGGCAGTTATTGGAACATTGACTAGACTCTTCAACGAGACATCAGAAGCATTGGGAGGTTCGCATGCAGTTCCAGCAAAGAAGCGGGAGATCGATGACAACTCAAAGAAAATAGGTGCTTTGTTTGCCAAACTAAACAATGGTGATATTTCCAAAAATGCTGCTGAAAAGCTTGTTCAGCTCTGTCAAGCATTGGATCGTGGCGACTTCCCTACCGCCCTCAAAATCCAGGTATCATTACCACAGATGTTGCCTATTTTCCTCTGTATATAACTGAGAATTGGAGGATTTGTGATTGAATCCAATACCCAAAAGAAACCAATGCATACTCTATTTATACGACCTACCAGCCATTAACCAATCTTCTAATATAAACAACCTTATAAACTACTTCATGATGAAACTACCCTTTCAATGCTGATTATAATCTGTAATAAGGTATGTTCTGCATGCATCCTACCCTCCCCTCCCCTCTCCGGACTCTATCTCTGTTGGGATTTACTGGGTTTGTTCAGTATTGGCTGACACTCAAAATGATTGTTTTTGTTGTGGTGGTACAGGTAGATCTCACAACCAGTGACTGGGACGAGTGCAGCTTCTGGTTAGCAACGCTGAAACGAATGATCAGGATTAGGCAGAATGCAAGGTGAACGAGAGCCCTCTACGTTTATCAACAACCATAATGCCATTCAACATCACTGCCTAATTTGGGTTAGACCTGTCTGTCTTTGTACACAAGAACGTATTGCTTTACACCACAATATTGCTCATTCGGGTTATTTTCTTTTTAAAAGATTAATTAATTATGACGTTTTGGAAGCGGTTAAAGAAGTTAGATGAGAGAGTTTTAAGAGACTTGTGTTTTTTGTTTGTGTATTGAAATAGATTTGGTTTTCTTGATTAGCAGAAAGAAAGATGTGAAAAGTTTTGAAGGATTAGTTTTTATTCAACTCCATTGTATCTCTTCTTACTTGGGGTTTGTTTGAAACCCACGTTTAACTGATTTTCAAACCATTTTTAACTGGCAATGGCATCGTTAGAAAGGTCCTGAAATATCAACCCGAATCCACACGTTTCGTTTTTGGTGAGACTTGAACCCCGGACCTCCGGGAGTGTTGGGTTACTGGGTACCCTGGGCCAATGGCCCTTGGTCTTTGCGAGCCAGTGTGGCAATTTGCCTGCAACGTGGGCCCCAAATCATTTGATCATAAGCGATCTACCAGAAGTTTGAAAATATTTACGAGCGAATGCCATTGGACCTCGTGACTTGACGTTGCAAGCCTAGGTCACTGGCTCTTTTACGATTGTCCATGTGAGCTGTGGGTCGCCAAGCACCCGATAACTTAGGTTAGCCATCCTAGGTCACAGCTCTAGGTCGCTAGTGTTGAGAAATTAAAGGCGATCCATTGATGAAAAAACAAAAAACACTAACATCAAGCACTATTGTAAGAGCGTTTAACAAGTACATTGAGAGGCTTAACCAAGGCCCGAGAAAAGGGGTTTACTTAAAACCAATAGAACGTCTTGAAATATCACGTTGTCATTTATTGGGAATCCCTAAATGTGTATATCAAACTTAGATCGTACTCTTGCATCTACCAGGAATTGGAACAACGACTTCTTATATTTTCACTTTTGGTTATGAAAACAGAACTTCAATTGAAATCAATAATAGACGTTTATATTTTTAGTTTTGCGATTGGTAATGCAACTCCTCCATTCATCCAACAAGATTGTGTGTTTTTACGACACTGTGGCATCATCGGAAGAAGTTGAATATAAAGTTTTGTTTATTACAAAAATGTAGAGGTGGTCCTTAATAGTTTGATGGTTTTTACATAAATAAGGAAAAAAAAATAAAAAAAGGAAAAATATGGTAGGACAATTTTACCTCTGGCTCTAACGAATATTGCTAACGGAATTAGTGGTCAGGTCCCACTATTAAAGCAAAATTCATACATGACGGACAAAAACTTCACTTTCAAAGATTTCATTCATACGATTTTACTCCTTGTTAAGATTTTGATGGGTGGAAGCATGAGTGTTACCATGACCAAAAACCTCAACTTGAAAACCATAACACAATTTGATTCCGAAATGAAGAACCACATTACTAACCCTCACCAGCACCATATCCAGCACAAGCCTACATAAAAGAAAAAAACACACACACACACACATATATATATACATATATATATAATATATATATATATATATATATTGCCGTCCATATATGTTAAAAATAGATATCTTTTACAATTCTCCATCTAATAGTTTGCCCACTTTGCGTAACCCAAAAGTAAGTAGGAGAAGGTGTAAAAAGGTAAGAAAAAGGTCGGTGAGAATTGTAAGAATGTAAAAACATTTCAACTTGGAACCAAAATCTATACATAGATAAACAAGGTCGGAGATGATGTTGTATAACTTGCCTCCAAATCCAACTAGGAACTAGGGCAAGTATTCACATGTTGCCCCCATCCATGACATTACTGTAATACTTCTAATAGCATGTATTTTTCTTCCCACAAAATGATTGGTGTAAAAATAGTCTTGCAAGAACAATAACGAAACATAAGGACATCGATAGGAGCAATATAGCGAACCTCAATGTTATAAATACCAAATGTCCCCTCAATTGTAACTGTTTAATATGATTAATATTGAAGTGTGTTTGCTTGTAAATCCGCAAGGTTAAGAAATTGTTAAACACCTCGCCTTATATACTCGTGCTGCTATGTTGTCATATTAAAATGTTATTTATTTGTTAGATCTAATTTTATGGGAATTAATCAGCACTTATGAATGCACCTATATTTCATGTATTTTCACCCTGTTTGTTTGGTACTTTGGTTCATGAATGTGAGAGATTTGAAGCTGTCATTTACATTTGAGGCTTAGGGGTCGTTTACCAAACACTTACCCAATAAGCGTTTACCAGTAAAATTCGAAACTATCACTTAGGAGCCGTTTACCAAACGCTTACTCGGGTAAATAAACACCAACTCACATTATCTTATCGGATGAATATGGTAAGGAACAAGAATCTTACCCGGTAAGAGCGAGACAATGACCAAGAGTCTTACCCGGTAAGTGAGGGTGATGACTCTTACCATGATAAGCGCTTACCGGGCAAACTGTTGCATACGATATCGTTTTGGTGGATTAAAATCTTATCCAGTAGGTAAATGATAATATTAAATTTTACCGATAAACGCTTACCGGGTAAGTCTTTGATAAACGACCCCTTAGTTCAAGTCTGATAACTGTATACCGAACTCTCATTGCTATATTTCTTTTCACAAATGTGTTCACCAAACATTTAGTTAGGCCTCAATCATTTAACATACCTACTCCTTACCTCACTTCATTAAAGAATAGGGCAAAATGCATCAAAATATATTGAAAATTTGTTTTATTTCCTATTTAGTATAACGATGATTTTTTTTTCAATTAGTGTAATAAATGTTCGATTCTTAGTATTTCGTACCCATTTTACCTCATAAGCGGGTTTCCAACCTGCATGACATTGATTTTGATGTAACATTTTTCATACAATCAAGAATTACACTATAACTTAACAACTAGTCATCACAAGGACTTCCGATTACCGGTTACAATGAATCTTGATCTTTCTCTTCTTAAGACTACATGATATTTACATGCTAATAAACATGATAAAGGCCATCGTTTGCTCATTTTTGTGTTAAACCACTAGCCTTAAGCCTACCCTTTATGTTGTGATTATCCCTTTTGCACACCACTTTGAGCTTTAGCCTATTTCGTTTGTCACCGACATCATAAACCCATCCAAACACGACTCACCCGACTAAGCACCAATGGAGTGATCCCAATATCCCCGTATATTTGAAAGTAGAATTCGTATGTTCGGGAAGAAAAAAAAAATGAAAGAAAAGATTGAAAAGAAAAAAAAAGAAGAAAACAGAAAATTCAAAGAAAAAAAAATATATATATATATATATATAAATATACATATGTGAAAAGCAAAATTACGTCGTCAATAAAAAATAAAAATAGACGACGAAAATGACGATACGGTTGAATATAAGTGTTCCATCTCTATTCCCTATCGTCCGAAAAGGAATGAGCTTCAAAGATAAATGCAAAAGTCCTTTGTGAAAATAAAAATAAAGTGTGTTTGAGTAGCCGAATTCTCCATTGGTGTTAGGTCTTAGTCACTTTTCCTAAATACTTCCCTACCGTACCCAAAGCCTTGTTTTTCGTTACACCTTTTAAGACCTTTTGATTTATAAGCATGCATTTTATCAAGTAGTGGAGAGTGAGAGACTTTTCAAGTATATGGTAGGTACATGCTAGATAGTGACGATTTGAGCGATACACTTTAACCCAAGGAGTGAATCGAGTGTTGTTTTGTTAATCYCATTCGTGAGAGTTCTCRAGATTAGTTTGTGYCTACTTGATTGCGTGTGCATCATCTTTTCAATGCTTTGTTGCAAATCTCAAACTCATGATATGCTATATGTGTTGATATTCTCGTTAGATTCGATTTTTAACTACGTGTTAACTTAAGTCATTGCCGGGACGGACAATGATCTAAGTGTRGGGGAATTTGATAARCCCAAATTTATACATTTTTTACGTCAAAGTACCTTGAGATTAATGTCAATTAGATGCCTAAAAATATCCATTTTTAATTAAATTGATATTTAATCCTATGAGGCTATTTCAGTTGGGAAAAGAAAGAAAAAAAGATTGATTGTTTGTTTTTGGTTCCTTGCATCCAAACAGTCCTACTGAAGCCCAAAAATAGCCCAAATTTGCTGCCCATAATAACAGCCCGTGAACAAAAAGAAAAGGGGAAGAAACAGCAGGGCTGCCCAAGACCAGCAGCGAGAGGAAATCGAGAGAGAGACGTGGGTTCGAGGGAGCTGGTTCGTGGGGTTCGAAGCGGGAGCGAACGTGGGCAGAAAATCGGAGAAGAGGCAGCGAGGAGGCGATAAAAGGGGTGCCGATTGAGAGAGAAAGGGGGGCAGTCGAATGGGGCTGTAAATGGAGCAGCTGTAAATCGAGGGAAGAGGAAGCGAGAGGCAGTAGTCGGTCGTTTGAGGAAGGGTTCTGTTCGATTGGGGGCTGTCGCGAGAGAAAATCGAGAGGCCGAGAGCAGAAAAGGGGCTGTCGATTGACAGCAAGGAGAGGAGCGAGAGGCTGTGAAAGCAGAGGGCTATCATCGAGCAGCCGAGAAGGAGAGAGGACAACAACAAGGGCTGTCGATTAGAAGAAACCGAGTGACAGCAAGGGAACCTGTCAATTGGAAACARCAGGAAGCAGCAACCGAGAGGGAGGAGCAGCCTAGAGGAAGAGGAGAAGCTGTCGATCGAGCAGTCGGTCGAGGACAGGTACGAACCAAAATTCGAAAAGCAACAGTAAACAAATTTTWGAAGTCGATTTTGGATTTCTTAAATTAAGGTTCTTCCTAGTCTATTGTTTTCTCCCAAGTTCAATTTCTGATTCAAAATAGAATTATGAGTTGCTAGTTTCCTGTTTCTAGTGATGAGATTATAGTTAGTTTGAATTGAACTTTGTTGAGACTTGTTTAACATTGAGCCTTAATTGGATTTTATTTGCACAAATTCTTKTTCTGAATCGTTCTTCATTTTTGGGATTTTGGTTTTGAGAAGGATCCCTTAAATCCTTTAGCCTCTAAATTTGAATTGCTAGTTGTGATTAGGAATCCGTAATTGTTCTTAATTTCCACTYGGTAGCAAATAGTGCATCAATAGACAATCAAGTTCATTGGGTTGCATTATAGGACTGTGTAATCTAGCTTAAATGTTCGGGCGTCCGTTCATTAGTTAGGATTGGTGCTTGTTTATTGTGTAAGGCGATTGGGTAGTTGAATTTTACGTCCGTGACTAGAATCAACTTAATCAATTAGGAACTAATCTATAGAGCTTCTCGTGTTAGTTTAATTATAAAGACAA